TGTTTCTGGAAGCAGAAACATTGTGGCCCTGAACAGCAGTGATGAGAGGTGTGCATTATGTCTCTATTGGAAAAACATGCTTTTAACAGAAGAACATGTTTAACATGTGACTAAATGCTCACTACAGTCTGATTTTCAAGGTGCTTGAGGCTTCCAAAGTATCATCCTGCATAGAGTTGTCCACACTCCAAAAAGTTGCTAGTTAATTTAAGATCTGAAGGCAAACCCCTGCAACCCTTCTCTAGGCAACCTAGGAGTTGCAGTAGACACCCAGTTTTTACTGTTTTTTGGACCACTGTAACAGACCTGACAAGGTGACCATCTCTGAGAGGCACAACTCCATCCAGGATGCCTGGGGAATGAGAGAAGCTGAGCTTTGAGACTCTCAGCAATGTCACAGACAACCCAAAAGCCTTGCAATGGATTCTATGCACTGTCTGTAAGGTGTCAACCCCCGGCATTCACAGCACTTCTACTTTGTGTGCCAGGTTCTCCATACGTGTCATGACAAACATCATATGCAACAGGGTAGTATGCATTCTGCAAAAAAATCACCAATTTCAACCCCAAGCCAGAAACACAATCTTCAAAATCCAGGGAAATTGTTGTAGAATGGAAATCCAGCTGCACTACTTCTCACAACATGATAAACAAACTAGAATTAAAATAAATTCCAAATTAAAAAGTGGCTTAATACGGTGAACTACTATTTGAAGCTCACATGATATGGAAGAATCCTAATGTTTAGACAAATAAAGTTAAGCAAACACCAATAAGCTGATTTGAATAACAATAAAACCACTGTGCACTTCAAAATACATCCCAGATCTAACAGCATGTTACTATGCCAAAAGCACAATACTGGAAGGGCATCCTCTGGGGTCTGTTTGTGCCAAATCCATAAAACAGACCTTAAGTCCATAAAACCAGTGAGACAATATACAGTATCAGCAGTTAAATTTCCTCCCAGATTATAACTCATGCTTTCTTATTTATTGCACATGCACAATTATTTTAAGAATGAACTAACCTTTAAGAAGTCTAAAAAGGCAGGTTTGGTGGCACAAGATTTCTTGAGAATCCCAACTGCTGTACTGAAGTTGTTTACGTATTCACTGTATGCATCCAATACCATAGATTTAGAAAACTGAAAAGAAAAAAGGGCAAATCCTAACTAAAAATACAAAAGACCTCTGCCAACACAGCTATACAGACCTCTGGCTGTTAGGGACTCACTCAGAACTAATGGCTTTGCTTGGCCTAGTGCTGGATATACAGAAATACTGGTAATACCAAAAATAATCTTTCTGTAGAAGACAGGCTGGAAACAGAAAGATATAACAGCTGTGAATGGCAAGAAATATATTTACAGAAATTGATTAATCTTGGCTAGAACACTGGAGCAGAACCTGAGGACTATCAGTAATCAAAGGACATCCCCTGAGATTCAAACTGACAGCTGAGATCCCCTGATCATCTCGCTACCTGTCTTCCAGATTAAGTGAATCAGCAAAGTCCCAGGGCTTTCACATCCTGACTTCAGCTATTAAGGACTTACCAAAAAAGCAGACAGATTGTGTGGCCTGCAAGCAGTCATGGGAATGGTAAGATCACCACCCATAGCCTTCTTGGTAATTTCATCCCTCTCTTTTCCGTATCCAATATCATTAAAACTACCTAACTTAAGTCACAAGAAGTCAGGTTTGCTTTAAACAACAAATCTTCAGCAACTATTTAATTTTGGGTGAACTGTGATCAGATCCCAGCTCTCTTACAGCAGACATGAAAAGGTGGTGATTTTCAGGACCTGGGTGACAATTAAACAAAGCATTCAAGCCAGCAGGCAGGCAGCCTCTTCAAACCACACTTTCATGGTGAACAGCATCTTTCTATCCACCAAGGCCATTTCTTGTTTTCTCTAATTTAAAGCAGTAGCTAATTCTGTCCTTTACTGAATGGACTTCAATTAATGATGGGACAGGGTTTTACAAACACTCTTTATCAGTGCCCCACCTCAGTTCAAACTCAGGAATTTAGGGCATTACTTACTGTGTTTTTTTTCTACTTGCACACTCCTGGATATGACTACCCATTTTTTATGAGATACTGAGCCTCTGTCTCACCTTAATTTCGGTGGGTTTCTAAATCTGTATTTTCTCATAAAAATAAACTGTTTACTTAAATGTCTGAAAGATTAATCAAAGACTGAAAACTTTTCTCACAATCCTTTCACATCTGCCAACCAAGCTGAAGACATGTGTTGGTGTCAGTTTCATTATCAGGACAGTACATGAATACTCTGACAGTTGCCACAGGCATTGGAGAACATGGGAATAAAGCAGCTAAGTTAGAAAGATGTAGAGATGGAAAAACAAGACTAAAATAAAAACAGATTATCTGTTCTGACACATTTGCTTACTGAAGCAACAAAGACATCACCGATCATTTCAACAGAGTCCCACTCAGATACACGACTCGCCAGTGCAATCTGAAACATTGAATGGCACTGAAGAATTTCCTTAATTCGATAAAAGACCATTTTAAGTTTTCTTTCACTCAGTAATTTTGGTTCCATATCTGAAAGGGGCTTCTCATATTGCTGTGGGAAAAAAGAAGGCAAATTGATTTAAACAAACAAAAAATGGACTTGTATAAGCAGAAAAACAAACTTATGCAACAGTATACACACACAAAATCACTGAACATTTGGCATGAAAGTATCCGTAGCAAAATCTATGTTAGTTATATGACAGATTCTTTAATGATCTTTAATGATTCTTTTTCAAATATTCAAAAATTTAAAATGCAAAAGATATTAAGGTACCTCCAGGATTCTTTTGAGAGCATCCACGTAATTCTTCTCACTATCAACTACAGAGCCCAAAATATACCTTCTCACAACCTGTTGAAACAACAAAGTTTTGTCCAAAGCACTAATCAGGTTACACATTCATTATAGTTGGAAATGATCGTGATAAAATTCTCACATTAATAAAACAAAAGATATACAGAGCAATTTCAATACTGGAACTGCATTAAAAAATACTGTATCTCTTGAAAAGTAATTAAATTTACTATTACTTTAAAACTACTTATTTTAAAGAACACAGCAATTATTGTATCGATATCTGTAATTTTTTTCTGACTGTTGTAATTCCAAGCTTTACTTTTGAAACTTTTGTTTTGACTTTGGCATTAAACAATGTTCTCAGGCATCTGGTGCATTTTTTAGGGCTGTCCTGTGCAGAGCCAGGAGTTGGACTTCAATGATCCTAGTGATCTTCCAAATCGGGATATTTTATAATCCTTTGCACTTTAAATGTACATATGTAGGCATTAATGGAAACAATCATAGGTATAAGATGATGTTGATTACTTCAGTGATTTGCTACAACAAAATAGGTAACAAGCTTTCAAAAGTTAAGGCCCTATATACTGTAACACTGAGAAAGCATCCAAGGCAACATTCTTTTTTGGGAATTACCACACATAAGTGAAGACCCCCATGTTACCTATATTTATATGCATTAACAGAGTTGTAAAACCTTCAGAAAAAACTACTATATTTCATGTTAAACTACAGGCTATTTACTACACCTCCTTCTTCATTTTCTGCTTCAGCTGAAATGCACTTTGTATGGACATGTGGATGGCAGGACAGGAAGGACTGGAGAACCAATCTGGTTTAGAGCTTAAGCTTCTTGCCATCAGTTAGATTTCTTCTTGGTTATAAGGATTTGTTTTCACCCAAATCCATTTCCTAATCCAGCTCACCCTAGAGTTTCAAAAGGGGACTGTGAGGGAGAAGACAGCACAGGGGTAGGATCAAACCACTTTCCATAACTACAAGAGAAGGAAAAACTGTTCATTTTGCTATTTTAAGCTAGCCTAAATAACCATGAAACTCAAATGTCAGGCTTGCTTCTTTCTGCTCCAGAACCCCCAGCCTCCTGCATCCTCCACCATCACTGCCTTTAAATTCTCCACACTTGTATTTTGCATTATTAAATGCAGGCTATGTGAGAATTTTCTTTCAGGTACTGGCATTTTAAAGGAGGACTTCAAAACTACCTGAGAGTTCACTTAACATATATACAGTAAAATTAGTTGTGTCTAATCTCTGTTTAGAATGGATTTAGCAGTGTCTTATTTGGTATAGTGAATCAGTGGTGAAGAATACTAACCTACTTTTAGTCACAGTTCAATCTTCTGAAAAGAATAAACATCTGTAGAAATAAAAATTTCAGGTTCTATAATATGTAATAAGAATATTTAGTAGTGGCTTCAGGTTATTGCAATAGGTATGAGCCCCAGCCTCAGAACTTGCGGGCACCAGGATTTAAACAGAAGCCATCATGCCACCTGCTGTTTGAAGCCAGCATGTCCACAGAGCAGCTCTGCTGCAACAGGGCAGCAGGGCTGGAAGGGGGTCTGGCCTGGGGCTCCCAGGGCTGTGACCCCTTCCCACGGCCAGGCTGTGCTGGCCCCCCTGAACTGCTTTGGTGCTTCTCTGCACCCCAGCCCACCGAGCCCTGCTGGCCAGCAGCCAACCTCCCACACACAGCTGCTGCACCCCTCCAGTTTGGCATCACCTCCAGATGTGCACTGCAGCTGGCATCAAGATTATTCACACAGGCTTTAAATGCCAGAGGCAGGTGCCTGCTCCTGAGAGACAGCATTACTGCTGACCAGCCACTGCACTTGTGCCATGGACTCACTGAGCGTGGCGTCGTCACCTGTTTCCCACCCACCTTTTAGGCCACCCAAACAGACTGTATCTCACCTACAGGAGTATAGGAATACTTCAGGAGACAGCTGAAAGCCCTGTTAAGGATGAGATAAGTGACACACTTTGCTCCCCTCTGCCCATAAAGTCACCACAAAATTACCTCTCCCCTCAGTCACCTCAAACAGGCACAAGCTGGTCATGCACAAATGGACTCTGGTCCATCTATGCTGATATTTCCCCACTCACTCTCTTGTCCTACTGAACGCAGACATAGATCCCAAGAACATGTGCTCCATCACTTTTGTTGGGACTGAGGTGAGGCCAGACTCAATTCTCCTTCTTGTGGGTCAGAGTGTGACACTTTTTCCCAGTCTTCTGATCACTGTGATCATAGATGACTGGGACAGGCCTTACCCACAGCATCCTTATATCCAGCCCATCTGGTCCCACACACACCTGTATGTCCAAATGGCCTCAGTTCCCCCAGCTGCAGATTAGGCTTCACCCCAGCAGACCTGCCTCTGGGCTCATGGGCTGAGTACCAAGGACAAGCCTCATCAGTAAAACCCAAGGCAAAGGTGGCACAGCTTTGACACTTTATCACTAGGTCTCTGCCCCAACAAGCACTGTATTGTGTTTCTCTCAGCTTCCTTTTGTTGCCAGTGTACATATCAGAACCTCTTCACGGTTGCCTCTTACACCACACTAGCTCCAACTGAGCTTTGGCTTTCCTAACTCCATTCAAGCCCACTTGGACAGCTCCTCCTGGGCAGATGAGCAATATTTGTCATGACTTGCATAACTATTACCAGTTTGTTCCAAACTACAAGCATTCTAGGTTTTTTTTGCAAAAGAAGGTGAACTTATTTTAACAATACCACCCTAGTGAAACTCAAATTCCTATTTGAAAAGAAGGAAGGAGCATTCAGACTGATGCTGAAATCCCACATGATAATAATATCTTACAGTTTGATAGTTGCTTTGCTACAAGCATTGTTAACACAGTTTGATAGTTGTTTTGTTACAAGATTAGCATTGTTAACATAGTTTGATAGTTGCTTTGTTACAAGATTAGCATTTCACTGTGTTAAACATAAGAGAAAAGTAAATCTCACCCAAGCCAAAGGTAAAACAAAACAAAAAAGAATCCAAAAATATATAGCCCTCTCCTCAACTGCCCCTTAGTTTGTTTTTTTGTTCATTTCTTAAGGTACTGACCAACTAACTCATTACTTGACAGCACAAGAAGCTAAAAGCTCTCACACAGTTATTAGTTGTCATAACAATACAGTAACATGAACACAAGAAATTTATTTTCAGCCAAAATTTCTTAACTGATGCTGATTCCAGTATTTTTTGAAGTAATTTCCACAGTGACTATACAGTTTGAGGTAGAAAACAGCAAAATGAATCCTTCTATTCTTTCTGTAGACTTGACATAACTGGAGCTGATTTTTTTTAACCAAGAAAAACCTTTGGATTCAATGATCATACAGGATATTCTCTACATTTAAAACGGAAGTCCCAGAGCACCTGGAACAATGTTTTCTGGTTCAATAAAAATGCTTTAACTCTCTTTTTCACTCAAAACCATCACATTTAGTTTAATTGTTCAGGTAGTGAAACAATATGGTTCTTACAGTTAATCTTATAACACAAAGCATTTTGCACCTCTGGGTGAATTCAGGACTGATGCAACTATATGCACACACACGAATTTTCAAAAAACTACTTATTCAGTTTTGAATTTGACGTCCACTTAAGTAAAACGCCATTATGTTTGAAGATCAAAGGCACCTAAGAGTCATTGGTGCAGAGAAGAAGGGGAAATAAAAAAAGCAGAAAAAGCAGAAGACAATATTTCCCAAAGCTTACTACCTGCTGCTGTGATAATCCTTCAGGCATAGGAGTCATAATTGCTTCTGTATGCATACAGTCCACATCAATAAATAAATTTAGCTCTTCTTCTTCCAGACAAGATGATCTATGATCTACCAACAAATAACCAAAATGTCATCTTCTACATGTGGATTGAAAGAAGAAAAAAGCAAAACAAAACCAAAAAAGCAAAGAGCCTATAATCCAAGCACAGAAATATAAATTTTCACTTACCAAACAAATTTCCCAGCACTTCTGTATCATCTGTGAAATCACATTAATGCTACCACCAATTGGTACTCTAATACAGAACACCTTTCAAAGTTATCCTAATTTCCCACAGCTGCAGGCAGCCTAAGCATCCTTTGCTTGACCTCTACTCCCTCCTCTCAGCCAGGAGAATGGGGCTGTCCAGAGGGCCGAACATGACAACTTGGGTTAAAGCACTACAGCTCTAGTGGCAGCAGTTTTAAAATAAATGATCCCTGGGAAGAAACTGAAAGCCCATATTATGATCCAGCTAAAAAAATTCCATACACCCTTCTATAGCTGAACTAAAGTGGCCAAATTAACCAAAATGTTTGCTTTCATCAGAAGAGTGAGGGATTCTGCATTGCTCTGTGGGTAAAAATTTTACTGAAAAAGTACCATCGAAGTGCACTGATAGGTGGCAGTACATAGCCAGCCAAACAAGCAGATGCAAGGAAAGGAGACAGAAGAAACAGTATGAGAAACTGTCTTAGAACAAAAAGAGAAATAAAGGAAGCAGATCTTATGGCTGGGAAAAACTTCCCAGTTTAGTTAACAAACTTCACGAATTTTTCACTAGCTCTGTGCTGATTTGGAAAGTGGATATGAGATTCAGCCATCCACAGATATGCTGTGTCTGCAACCCAATCTCTAGAAATGTAATAAGGAACTCCAGGCCCATTGTAACACTGCCCTGCGGATCATTTTCATGTGTTTGACTGCAAGAAGTCGAGGACACACTTTTTCATCCTCTAATTTTGTGTCCCTTTCTATATTCAATTTTTGAATTAAGTAAATTGAGAAGCAGTCAGAGGTCATGGCAGAGATGTAAGATGTGTCATGGCCCATTACAGCAACTTTGTTACCTCTCTCACTAAAAATATTTTGTTCCACCCTTGTAGTTTTAGCTTCCTAAAATTGTAGTTTTATAAGCTCTGAAGTTACAAACATTTAATAGTTGGGCAGAAACCTGAGCAGAAAGACACACTATCTCTCAGAGTTATCCTGAAAAATATACTAGTTTTAATTTTCCACCTGTCTCTTGAAAAAATTACCTGTGCACAGCTGCTGCCACCGCTCATGACAAAGGATTGTCACTTGCTCTCAACTACAGAAAGAACACAAATACTTCTGTGGCTTTTTGATTTTACATCGCTTTCTGTTTTCCCAGCCCAAATTCAGCTTTTATCAAAAATCATCAACTAATTAGGTACAATCTTTTCAAAAGTACAGTACAGTCTTTTCCCCTATTTTCACTCTTAAGCACAGAAAGCATTATTCCTTACCAATGATGAACTTTTGAAAACAGTCAACTACGTTTCCACTGAAAACCATGTCTTAACAGCACATTCTCCTGACATTCAAGAGTTATTTGATGGAGAAACCTGGACAGACTTAGTAACTGTGCTGATTTTAACTGGGGTAGATTTAATTTTCTTCACAGTAGCTAGGATGAAGCTACATTTTGTATTTGTGCTGGACGCAGGGTTGATAACACAGAGATGTTTTTATTATTGCTGAGCAGGGCTTGCACAGAGCCAAGGCCTTTTCTGCTTTTTGTACTGCCATGCTGAGGAGGCTGGGGGTGCATGGGAGGTTGGGAGGAGACACAGCCAGGACAGGTCACCCAAATTGACTAAAAGGACATTCCAGACCATATGACATCCTGCTCAGTATATAATGTTGAAGGAAAGAGGAGTAAGGGGAGAGGATACTCAGAGTTATAGCATTTGTGTTCCAAGTAACCACTATGTGTAATGGAGCCCTTCTCTCCTGGAGATGGATAAGCACCTGCCTGCCCTTGGGAAGCAGTGAAGTAGTTCCTTGTCTTTCTTTGCTTGTGGGTTTTATGTTCACTATTACATTGTTTTTATTTCAACCCACAAGTTCTCACCCTTTCCCTTCTAATCCTCTCCCCAGTCCTGGTGGTAGGGAAGTGAGCGAGTGGCTGTGCAGGCTGGCTGTTGGCTTGGGTTACACCACAACAGTAATTTAACATTACTACCATACTCCCATCTACCAGTCCCTAGATCACACTGCTTAGTGGAACTTTTTGTTATTGTTCTTAAGCTGACCCTTCTCTGTGGTCCTCAGGTTTCTCAGGTCACTCGAGTTCTTGCCCCAAATAGAAAAAACTGCTCAAGATGCATTGACCATACTGTCATCTGAACTGAATACTATACCATACATTTTTGATATATATCTGATTTCTCACATCTAGCTCTCAGCTCCCACTACAAAAATTTGCTAGGCCATTAATCTTCTTTCTCAGAAATTACTAGAGAATGTACAAAGAGAAAAACTGTAAATATAGCACATACCTTGAGAAATGAAAGATTTTGTCCGAATGAAGGAACGACCCTTCTTCACAGCTGCTTTTGTCTTTTCAAGTCCATCTTTGGTACCTTCTCTAGCAGCTCTCATAAGCTTTTGCATCTGCAAGACAAAATATATAGTCTACATGTTCAGTGGATAATAGGAAAACATTTAAGCCTGCACGCTTTTAGAGTATCAATACTGTCCAAAGTCAAATGAATACATAATAAGTAGAGAGAACCATGAAAGCTCAGAGCCAAGCTCCTGTATTTCAAAATAAAATAAAAACTGGAGACAAGGACTTACTTCATGGCAATACTGTATGCAAGTCTGAAAGAGCAGAAATGCTTAAGAACCCTTCTGCATTCAAACAGAAACTTTACATAGTCTCAAATGTTATCTTACAGAACAAACACCTACTACTCGCAGGTCATTAATGGCCAGAGGTCTTGTCCATCTTTCAGTGTCCCAATAACTCTTCCAAATTATTTCTGACCTAAAGATAACCCTCTAGACTCAGTTATATATTAGCTATATTCTTAAACAAACACTGTTTGAAGGAAAAAGTTACAACTAGTAACTTCATTCATTGAAGAAATACATTGATTTAATTAAGAATTTCATAATCTTACAGTACACTACTACAGTCAAATTAAATTTCATGGAACAAAAAAAACCACACTAAAGAAATTTTGCTTTGCTGGAAAATGTTTATTAAAATACCCCGCTTTGTACTTCTTTCCCAAAATGTCACTACAATAAAAAATCCCCACTACTGTCAGAACACAAACAAAGCTACCTTGCTGTAGTCAGGCAATTTCTGGATTTGAGACTGAAACTTTTCACAAAAACCCAGTCTTTTCATATTGGTTCCATTCAGAATGGAGAACAGGGAGATTCCAAATTTGATCCTGTGTGGCTGCAGAGCTAGGCTAACCCCATGGAGCCAAGGTCTCAGAGAGACACTAGGGTTGTACACCTGGCTCACACTCTGGGATAAGGATTGTTTTCCAGGGAAAGACAATGCCCTATTTCATCTTCTGATACTGTTAATATTAAAAGTAAGCATAAGAAAAGGTCCTTGACCAAATATTTTTAAGAGTATAGCAATATTATTGTCTTTAATTTAAGACTGCACAATAAAAATTCGGCATATTTAGAATTAATTTCATACAAATTATCATCTACTTTTTCAAGTTATTAATAAAAGACAACATTGTCTGTGTTGGAAAAGCAATTATTTAAATGTAGCTAGTTACAAAAATCAACTACACTACCTTCAGCTCATGTTTTTGCTTTAGTTGCTGAATCTCTACTGCTCCCACAGTGTTTGACATCAAATCTTTCATCTTTTTTTCATAATGTTCCTTTAAACGCATTAGGTCATGAGAAAGCTACAGTGTATAAAAAGACACAAACTTTTCAAAAAGCCATAGTGAAAACTTCATGCTAAAGCACTCATATAAATCATGCACATTGCCCCATCTATCTACTGGTACAAAGACAACTAAGGGAAAACTATCACTAAGGGAAAACTATCACTGAGGGAAAACTATCACTGAGGGAAAACTATCACTGAGGGAAGCTCCAGTCCGAGGAAGGGACCATCGCTCCTGGGCACTGTTGAACTCCACCAGGTGCTTTTCTGTAAAGACAGGGGCAAAGCCACTTAGACTAAGGTAACTAAATTGTTATACATATTAATAGTATTTTGCCTATGTCTTAAAAACCACATGGAAACAATACATCAGCTTTAACCATAAGCATTATTCCCTGGAGCACAAACCCTAGTCTGTATTTCAGACTATCCTTCAAAACAGTGAATCAGAAGAAAACTCAGACACTGAGGAACCTGTGGAGATTGCTGGCACCTGAGAATACGGAAATTGACAGGGCAGTGAGTCAGGTAAGGAGACATTAACAGGTTTTTCTTGTGGTTTCCTCATGCATCATAGCCTCACTGTATGAACTTGGGTGTAACCATCTCGTACGTAAATACATTCATTTGCAAGGTAAGGAAACTATCACAGAGAAAGGAATGCTCTGGAACACTAATTACCATTTGTTAAACATATTGACAAAGGTAGATAAAAGAGCTTAAAATGCAACCAGGAAACAAAAAAAAAAAAAAAGAGAAAAATATTGGTGTGCTCTATAATAGAAGTCCAGTGGAAAACCCCTCAGCTTGATATCAACTGAGTTATTTGGCAAGAGATCAAAGCCCCAGGAAAACGAAGGCCCACTGAGTTGAAAATAAAGCAACAGGCCCAGCAAGAAGCTCCAGTTGGCTGGGTTAGGACGCAATTACCTCTAACATCATGATTCTGGTATTACAGCAGTATAATAGAGAATAGCATCTGGTTCACAGACAAGAAATATTTAACAGCACAAAAATCTTCCCTTCTTAAAATAAACTAGTAAATAAATAGAATAATAAGAAGTACAATGAAAAGGTGACTTTAAGGGAAGTCAGCACTTAAAAATTAAAAATCCCACCTCCAACCTTGCCATACATTTCAACTAACACTAAAATTATAAGTAAGACAAGTCCCTCACAGGCTCTGAAGGGCTACAGAAGATGATGTGCTGGGAATATACTATAATATCCGTCACAGGACCTGAGAAGAAGTGAGAGTTAGTGCAAGAAATAGATACAGAGAAAACATACATAAAGAAGAGTAGTGTCTGCCCGTGCTGAAATGCCAATGCAGGGAGAGATGGGATTGGTTTTGGGGCTTTTTTTGGTTGTTGTTTTCTTGGTTGCTTGTTGCAAGGGTTTTTGTTTTTTTCTTTTTTTTTTTTTTTCAAGTCTGAAGTTTCTTTCCTCACTCTCTGGCAAAACCCTTCCCTAATTTCCTGATTTCTCCATCTCCCAGCAACCCATCCAGGTACAGGAGGCTATCTGACTTTTTCATCCACCAGCTTAAGTGTTCCTCACCTTCTCACACCCATCCTCACAAGGCAATCCCCAAAACCTTTTGTCACAGGCCTAAAAAAAGCCATCTGCATGGCAGTACCCAAGGGCACACCTCTCTTCTCTCATCACTCCTCAGTCTCTTGCTCACTCTGTGCCTGATCCTGGTGCAATCACATTCAACCACTGCCAACAGTTTTCCATGACAGATCAAAGTATACTTTTAAGAGTTCCAAAAAAAATGGCTTTAAGCCTTGCATTGCTCATATATGTAAATAGACTCTTATGACTACGGCCAAAGCTGAAGCTAGGGATAACAAGAGAAGATTAAAAAAAAAATAAAAAGAATAAGCCAGCAGCCATGTTAAGGCTTACACACTCACATGCAAAGTAATTTCCTAGTCTCTTCCAAGGTATTAAAAAAAAATTCAAACTCCATGTTTTCAGTATTGTTAGAAAAATCTCCCAAACAAACAGCTGCAACAGCTTAAGATCGTTCTAGTCAGAGCAAAATCAAGACAAGAACAGAGGAAGAGCACTCAGCTTACGAAGTGCAGATTTGGGTTGGCTCAAGTCTTGCAGTTAATTACTCACTCCCTGATTTCCAAAGGATGTGCAGCAAGGATAGAAGTGAGGGGAGAGCAGCTTACATGTACTGGAGGAAAACAGAGACAGCAAGGCTTTTATTCTCATCAAGTTAAGAAACCTACAAAATGAAAAAAGGGTCCCATGAAATAACACCCTGTCTGCAACCCTTGCACTTTTCAGCCACGGGGTGCTGCGGCAGCTCACAACACACAGTTGCCAAGTGGCTCTTGGGGGTCTGTCCCCAGTCAGCACACACTGGGGAGCCTCTCGCAAAGAAGGTCCTCAAGGGCAGAAGAGAGCCAAAGCAAAGAGAAGGCCCGAGCCCAGGGCCCCTCTCCCTGTGCAATGGGAGAGGCACAGTGAGGACAGGCACCTGTGTCACCTGTGCCTTCCTGCCTCCTGCAGAACAGATGGAGCCAAAGGTACACAACCTGAGAAGTGTCACAGATGGATCATTTTAATCATGCCACCTCTCTTCTCTCCTGACAGGTAGAACTCTCTCTGATTACAAAATCTTTTGCTTTCAGAAGTTTTTTAAGCCTAATCACTTTCAAAAAAACAAACTGATGCAGATCTAAGGCAGGAAGCTAGGGAACACTGGCAAAGAGTTTTGGGACTTTGGAGAACCTAAAGATCCCAAACCATCAATTCTTGTCAGGCTTGTCCCCATTTATTTTTCACATTATTTTCCACACTTATTTACCACTTACACTAATCCAGCAACTGCAAAACAAGAAAAGGTAAGGAACTGCCCATAAGCAAAAACAATCTCACTTTTAATTTCATTTTTATGCAATTGGAGTTTTATCTTTTTTTAAGAAGCTTCTGTTTAATATTTTCATATCTTCTTTTCCCTGTTACATTTTGTTATGTACTGTCACTTTCACACTGATTCGTATTTCCATTAAAAATACGCTGTTGGCATTTGAAACTGAACTGAGGAAAAAAAGAAATACAGGTGAGGAAGGCAAGTGTTAGAAACCAGGACAACCTCAATGACTGAGCAGCACTGCCAGATACATACATGTCTCTTGTGGTTGCCTCGCAAAAAGGAGCTGGGAATTCCATTTTTACACTCAGAATCACTCTGTTCTTCATAGCTTTCAAACTCACTTGAACTCCACCCATATTCCAGTGAGCTGTTTCCACCATCATCACCGTTTTCAACATCATCATAAATCATTTCCTCTGCAAGAATTAAACCAAAATTTAAAAAGCTACACTGAAATGCATATTTGTTCGAACACCAGAAAACTTGTTCAGGATATGCTATAAAGAATTGCACACACTTTTGTATGCACATTAAAAATTCTGAATTAAATCCAATATTCAAATAGCCAAAGTAGATTGTCTTTGTTGAAACAGTACTAAAAAAGGACAGTGTTATGGGTACACATCATGATCCTTTTAGAAACATGCGCTACTCAAATGACACTGTTGTGTCCAAATCCCACAAAATTATTTAGAACTTCAAAGGAAGTTTAAACTCAAACTGTGAATGCACATCTGCACTGAGAAGCATTATCCTTCCATTTTTAAGCTTGCCATTTGTCCCTAGCGACATGCTAAAAAATGCTAGAACACAGCAAGAATCAAATGGAAAGGTCACTACTTCCAGCAGAACAGGTCAAACCAAGGTAGCAAGAAATGTATTACAGAATGGTGTTTTATGACTCATCACCACCAGTCACTGGAAGTCTCCCATACCTGGCAGCTGCCTTGCTCATAATTTACTCTAAAAACTTGAAGTATTAACCTTTCCAAGACATAACCTTTTCAAATCTATATTGCAAAGGCTGACCAAAGTACCTCCTGTTAGAGACACAGGTCCTTCCACTGGCACAGGTGTCAAGAACATAAAACTTACTCCAATTAAATGGAAAATTTAGAGCCAATTGCTTGTCAGGAAACAGGACTGCACCCTACCAGCAGCATCATATGTCAGTACAAGTGGAAAAGTGTGGACACTTGTCGTGGTACAACATTTCTATCAGGAATCACTATTGTCAGAGGTTATGATGCAGCATTTACAACTGTCTCCTATTAAATTCATGAAACAGCAGCTGTGCTTTTATTTTAAGACTGATGTTTCATTTAAACAGAGAGAAAACATGTACTCAAAAGAAAATCTGATATGTTGTACAAATCTATCAAAACTCTGGATTTTAATATAAACATTGGACTCCTCTCTGTTAATTATAAATAATTTAATTAGTCTAATTTGGAAGATTTCTATTTTTAATTTTTTTTTAAATCCCCATGCATATCAAGACTGTCTTTATAATATTGTTACTGAAGAAGACATCTTAGTGGTAATCTAGCACAATGAATAATTTAAAAGAACCATCATAGCAAGTCAAAATAAATCAAGACTTTTGCAAGTCTAACTCCTGTGCTGTGAGCTTTGGGGTAGGAATTACCCCATGACTGGGTGAACTTATCTTGTCCATGTGGCAATGTAGATTGTCTGAAACTTTTTTTGGAATAGTTGTGTCTCCCTAACAAAATATACAAATAATAAACATCAAGATCATGAATGTATGAAGATGAAACTTCCCTTACTACCTCTTTCCGCAGAACCTTTTAATGTCTTAGCAGACAACATGAAAATCAAAATTTTAATTGATGTCTTACGGGGTAAGCTAAAGATTCTGACCAATATGCTCAGCAGAGCTTTGCTCCATATCCCATACCCCACCTAGCTCAGCCACCTGGGCCTGTTGTATGTGTTTCCTGATTGATCAGCAACAGCACAGAGATGCCCCTGCTCAGAGCAGCACTGAAGGGAATTCCAATAATATAAGCATTCAAGTCATGAATATAACATGGTACTTTCCAATAATAAATGAAAAAAATTCAGTAATAATTTGTAAAATACCTTGCCTGAACACTACTAAGGACAAGAAATTAAACTGTTACAGCTTTAAAGATTAATGTGGGTTTCACACAAGGAAGCTTAATTTTTTCTTTTAAACTTTTAACTTTTTGACTTTTTCTTTTTAACTTTTCTTAAAGTTTTCTTGATTCATTAAAAATTTCAAAGACCTACGCCCTCTGAGAACCATGATGAGTAAGATGCTGAGCTCCCATTAAGCCAATTCACTCAAACACAAAATCAGTCAGTAGCAACTGATCTTTAAGCAGACTCCACTATATCCAAAAACTGCAAAACAAACCTGAGCAAGAATTCAATGAAATATGCCTCTTGAACCCTAACTCCATCATTTCCAGTAAAGGTAAAATCTTGACTCCAGTAACTACTTTGAGATCTATTCTGCCCCCTCCAAACATGGTCACAACCATCAGGAGCAGACCACTTCAAAGCTGAAATAAAATATTTCTGTAGAGTCACAATCAGGATGGTGAACAGCCATCCTGGACCATCTCTTCCATCTATCAAGCATTAATATATTGAAGGGGACTGCCAAGGAAAGAGCTTCTCTCTATAACCACCACAATGATATATTATCATATATCATTTAACTATTTAAAACACCCTATTCCTAACTATCTTGCCTTGTTCAGGGCACTACAGCTACAACACCCAACACTGTAATCCTCTGATGTGCAGAATACTCAAGCATTTGGAACAGTATCTATAAAACAAAGTAGAATTCAGCTTCTGAGAAGAGCAGTATAGGAGACCTGCTGAGATAGTCTTTTAAGTATTAGTACAATTCTGAACTTTTTAAGACCTAGCAATTATTGACACAATGGTAAATCCATTTACATATATTTTAGGCACTTAATGAACATATCCATTTAGTATACATGCACATAATTCCATTTTACATTGCTGTCACCATTACAAAGATCTCAAACCTGGTTCAGAGTCTGAATCTTCTCTTGGCACATCATCATAAATTACTTCATCCGGGTCTAAAATCAAGACAAAAAAAAAAAAAAAAAAAAAAAAAAAAAAAAAAAAAAAAAAAAAAAAAAAAAAAAAAAAAAGAAAAGAGAAACTTCTTAAAATTTGAATGGGCCCAAGTGTTTAAGAGGCATTTGGACAAAGCCCTTAGCATGCCTTTAGCTTTTGGTCAGGCAGTTGAAATGCCGTATGTCCTCTCCAACAGAAATATACTATTACATTTTAAAGAATTTTGGTTATATTGGCATATATGAATACTATGGAGATATGACTCACTCTCCACTAGCATTTTGCTTGCACATCTAATCATTCATATATTGCAATAATGCACCAAGCAGTATATGGTATTTGTAAAATTTCAGTTTTATCTGCATTGCTCATGATGACCTTTGGTAACCTGAAAACAAAAATCCACTTCAAAAACCAGTATTTCTCCCTTCTTCTTACAGAAGTATGGTATGTTCTGTGCCTGTTGAAGACTGCTCATTGCCTTACTGAATGGATGTAGAAAAGCTGAAACTGACTTTTTAAAAAGAGCCAAAACTAAATAATGTAATGATTACCATAGTATATTAAGAGGCAGAATGATAACGCAGATTCTTCAGTCACTTCACAAAATATGTAAGGCGAACTCCAGTCCAGTGGGAACAACTTAGAACAGGCAGGATAACCTGCCCTCAAACCACACAGTCTCTGTTCTGTTTAAAATGCAGATGCCAGCCAAGAATCAACAGCACACACTAAGACAGCGGCGAAAGTGTCAAACCATGACAATACAGTAAAAGTGAACAAAAACATTCCCAAAAATATGCTGGTGCACCTAGACACACAAATACTTCCGATCACAACTTAAAACTGACCACTTCCACAGCTATACTTCAGTGCTCACTGGTACTTACTTTCCATCCATGCTGTATTTGCAGGATCTGAAACCCATTTGGCCAGGACATCATCCTCCTTCTTGGTCTGGTTAACTTCACTTGAAAAAGATGCCACAAAATAAAAGAACTAGAAGTTATACTGCAACATTTTTAAACATCCATGAAGACAAGACAATAAATATATTTCTGCCTGCTAGTTTGCACTCCAAGGCTGCAGATTAGTCAAAAATGTTGCTTCAATATGTAGTTGGGTGATGAGTAAGCTATTCTAGTTAATAGTCTGACAATTTTAGTCAGAAAATTGAAAACACTTTCTTTACAATCTTAAAAAATACTCTGCTTTTGAGTTCATCTACCAGAACACAGGAAATTCTCTCAAAAACAGTGAAGTGAGAGCTTCTTTTTCATGGTAAATAGGACTAAAGACATTCTGGGTTACATCAGGAGCCATCAGGCAAAGCTGTTCTCCTCCTGCACCTGGCGCCGGTGAGGCTGAACCTGTAGCAGCATGTCCAGTCTTGGCTTCCCAACACCCCTGGCTAGAGAGCTGTGGAGAAACTGATGCTACCTCTAGAGAGATGTACAGAAACTGAAGTCAAGGCCTAAAGCACACGGTTTACAAAGAAGGAGATAAAAGACATGGAGATTATTTAGTCTGGTAAAAAGGATGTTATGGGGTGATCTAAGAGCAGCTACAACTATCCAAAAGAGAACTACAGAGGAGATAGAATCAGGGTTATTTTTTTGTTTGGGCTTGTTTTGGGATTTTGGGCTCTTTTTTTTTTTTTTTTTTTTTAATGACAGACAAAGGGGGAATGGTCAACAGACTGCCCACTGCCCAGATTTGGACATCTGGGGAGGTAGGGGCGGGGAAGAGGGGGAGGGAAGTACAGCAGGGAAGAATGCTTGGAGAAGCTGCAGCACCTCCATTCTTGGAGGGTTTGAAGGCTCAGCCAGCAAGGCCATGGTTGATCTGATGGAGTATTGGAAGTGGTCCTGCTGAAAGCAGCAGGCTACACCAAACTACAGCAATCTGTTGCACCTGACATTGCCATCACTCTAGAGAAAATCAACCCAGCGTCTTCAAAAATGTCATGCACATTTACACACACCAGTGTTGATTTTTGTACACAACCAGAATTACAGGAGTAAGAAAGGGAAAGAAACCAAACCAACAAACATGGAAGTATCACACGAGGAAAATAAAATACTTATCAAATGCAAGCTTTCTTAGGAATTAAGGCTTTCATTAAAACATGATGAACTGGCAATCACCTATTCTGAGGGTCCTCCAAGTTTACCGAATTATAATGACATTCTTCAGCTGCTGACTGTGCACCTGCCAAATAGGAAAAAGAAGAAAAAAGAAAAAAGAAAGTGCTTACAATAACATGTCAGTTTGACTCAAACTGCGTATTTTACCATAAGAAACTGATTTTACTAGATCATTGCTAAAGAATAATTTCCTTCTTGCAATAGTTTTATTCTTACAAATGTTTAAAAAATTTGGAAGTTTCTTCACACCATGCATTTTTGAAAGCTAAGGAATTCAAAAACACAGCCATTTGTTAGAAGAGCTGTTAAGAGGAAATCACAATGCCTAATGCATTTAATTCTATCACTCACACATATATTCCTCTACAGGTAATAAGGACCACACAAACATTTGCTTTTACTTGACAGTATTCCTAGCAGTGGTAAAAAGCAAAGGCTGGAAAAAAGGCTGGAATTATAGAAGAACTGCTGCCTAGCTAAAGAATATTCAAAATACGAAGAGGAAAAGGCAGGATATGAGGAGCCTTCTTTTCCTACTGTCTTGACATTAAGCTGTCAACTTTCTCAGCTCTGGTTACAAAACGGATTTCTTGTTTCTCTAATAATCCATAGTTATTTCCCTTTCTAGTTTCCTCTTCTGTTTTAAAATTGTGCTAGAAGGCAGAGAATTCATCAAATCATCAAGGAAAAAATCTCATAGGAACTCTAAATCCACAAGAATTGGAAAATAAACAAACAGATATGCATACAGAAATGGCAAAAGGGATAGGAATTTTGCCAGGATCTAGGAAAAACTATAAATGGTATGAGAAGAAACCATTTGGTTTAAACACTGAACTCTGGATCTGGAAATTATTTCATTACATTAAAAAGGAATTAACATTAATCATACTCACCCAGGGTGAGTGCTATACAGGAAAGGTACCTGAGGTTAATCAAGGATTCCCTTTCAAATAAAGTAAGGTGTGTAAATACAGTACCTTCTTCATCGACAGAAACACTGCGTATGATGACAGGGCTGGAGTATGCTGGCAGTATCAAAGGTAAGTTGGATGGCACAGCATATCCACAAGGGACAGGAACAGAATATCCACCGGACAGGCTGGGACTTGCACATTCATCTTGAGGACTTGGTTCTGGTGATGAGGATGGATCCTTATCTTGGATTGGGGAAATATTTATGACTGAGTAGGGATTTACTTTGGCTGGAGTGCCTTCTACAGCAGGTTCTGATGTTTGCAGCTTCTCAGTGTTTTCTAAATTATCACCTCCTTTAGTTGAAAGATTAAACAAAAATACAAAGTTTTAGTTTTCATACCTGTTCAAGCCATTTTAATAGCTCTTTGCAAGTACGCTAAACACTGACTCGACCTTTACTATACAAGCTGCTTACAACCTATGACTCAAAATTTCCACACAGTAATGCCAACCTCCCTATTTTTACAGATGAGGAATGCAACAAGAGCAAAAGATGAGTTACAAAGATGCCCATGAAAAAACAGTAACTTGACTGACATAAGCACATGAGTCAAAATAGTCTTAAATCATAAAGGTTAAAATCTGTATTCTAGATGAATTTGAATCTTACAAACACAAACTCAAGAAATATTTTAGGGGTAGTCACGAGGACAAGAAAAGTAATGGAGGGACATTCCTCAAAGAGCAGTCCTGAAAATGCTGTGTTAAGAAAGGGAGGAAGAAAACAACTTCACAAGTTTTCCTCTTTGAAAACGTATTGTTTTTCTGTTATAGAAAGTTCCCAGTATTTTTTGAGACAAGCTGAGATACAGCAGAACCACCGGCCACTCCGAACGGAACTGCAGAACTGTATCCCAAGCGATCAAATTATTTTAATCTGTAAGCACAACTTCACAATAAGGATGAGCAAGCAACAGATGCTCAGGGAAAGATGGTGTTTAAGTTCCAGGTTGTCAAACTGCACAGTACCTGAAGAGTTACTTATCTTTAATTGCCATAAGCACAGTGAATCTGTTTACAAAAGGAAATTGGATTAAAGTAAGCAAAATCAGCTGTTAGCAATTTGAGCAGAATACAGCAATTTCCAGACTACACCTCAGCACTGGAAACATCTGCATATGTCATAAAAATGTTTCAATATTTAGCAAAACTTCTGCTTATGAACAAAATTCATACATTCAAGCTCCACTTAGTTTTATGCACAACTTAGTTTTATTTCAACTCAGCAACCAGCAAGCTAAGCTGTGAAACAGCTTATCTCAAGTCATCAATGTGCCTTAAGATCAGCCAGGATATACAATTTTCCTGTAGTGTGAAACTCAGACTGTGTCCAATCCATTGGTTTGGACATCACACTTGAATGGGAAACCTCACAGGAATTACATGTGATAGTCACTTGCCCTGTCAGATCTAACATGACTGTAACTGGCAGGAATATTCAAAACACTTGCATGGTATTTCCATGTGTGAGAGACTGGACTACGATTCAAAACTAAGTGGCCATTTTTAGAGATTCCTGGGTGCTTTACTGAGGCCAGGTTTGCAAGCCCATAAAGAGAAGGCAATGAGTTTTTGGGTGTGTAATGATGAACCTCTGGTCTGCATAAGACAGAGGGGGTGAACTTACCACCACCAGAGGCTACAAACTGTGCTCTGAGGCCAGTAGGAGGCAGACCTTGGGGAGACAGGATCGTGCCTTTCATCACACCAAACTGCCCTCCCTTACACACATGCCCTCCTCCCAGGGAAGGTCACATCCACACAAGGCTTACTGATATTAGAGGCAGCTGCCTTAGAAGAGCTCATAAACTCTCAACTACCCCTGAAGTGCTCTCAGACTCATTTTTGATGTGCTCCACCAGAGAACTGCACATGATCAAAAGACAGAATAAAACTTCACCCTCATAGAGGAGGTGCTTGGGCACTCCCACCTGAACCTGAGAGTGTATTAACCCACCAGACTTTGTATTTTATGGGCTTTTTCCCCACCTCTGACAGATAAAGACCTTCAATTGTCACGTCAATCAAGTGTCATCACAGACCCACAGCTGGTGATTATGTATCTTCCTACTCTTATCCTTTCTTTCTCTTTCTTCCTTCCTTTTCCCTTATATGTTTCCTTAAGCAGGTGGTATTTTTATGCTTTGATATTGCTGTATTACTTTTTATACTAATAACCAAAATGGCTAAATATATGCTTTCCATTACAATCAAATTGTTCCAAAGTAAACCCAACATGTGTATATTTACAAACACCAATCTTTCAGTGTTTGTTTCACTCTAATCTGCTCCACGAGATCCATTAAGAAGTACCTGAGTTACCCTCAGGGGTGGGCTATAACACCATGGAAAACTCTTGTTAAAGTACTTTTATTGCACTGTCAAGAACAGGCATCCTATGATCAGTCTTGAATACATATCCCAGTGGAAGTACAGATCAACAGGCTGACTTACCTGCAGCACCAGCCTCTTGGTTTTCTATGTAATTTCCAGGACCAGGAAGAGGTGGCACAAGGGCTTGCCTGTCTGCTTCTGGTATCTCATCTCCACTATCAAAATCAAACTGTTCTCCCTCATCCTCCTCTTCGTCATTCAGACCCATGGCTTTTGGTTCATGCTCTAGAACTGTGCAGAAAGACACACCTTTGTTTGTTTGCTCTTAATAATGATTTCATGGGACCAGTAAATGCTCTACATTACAAATGACACTTACACAATGAACCCTTAGATTTTTAGGCTACTGGAACAGAACAAACGTTGACTGATGTGTTGATAACCTCATGCAGTTTTCAATAAATCCTTCAGTGCAAACAAGGAAATTACTTTGAAAGAAATAAACAAGTAATAATGCAAATACCCTTGATTTTGTCATAATGAGCCAAAAGATTTTTAGAAAAACACTTAAATAGCCAATTTTTAAATAAGAAAACTTCACAAATTAATTTGTTTGCACAGGGACTTTGCAACTTTAAAACTTCAAGTAATTTTTCCTTTCTAACTGAAACTCCTAAGTCTATTCTTTCCTAACAGTGTCCAAATACCAGTGATAATCATTTAGTTCACACACTCCAACAGAGACCAGCAGTTGGTTTTCCTGCTCCAATCTGAGATAGTTTTAAACCATGCAACATGCAATTAGCCCTATTACCACACACATGCATTCTGGTGGAGGGAGGGTATGGAACCTTTGCGGAAGTAATGGCCAGAATAAAGACACTCTAATATGGATAAAAAGGGTGGGTTAGGGTTTTTCCTCTTTGCTTTTGAAGATACTGTAGCACAGATTTGGCTCTGTACATGGGTCTGGGGAGAGGAGCAGGAAGAAGTACACAAGTACACAGCAGTTTCCCCCCATGCTACTGGGGAAAGTCTGTGAAAATGTAAATCCCTTCATGTACCTACACCATAAAACAATATCCTAAAAAAGATAAAGGTGTAAATACACAAGTATGTTATAAAAATTTACCTGAAGGTGATAAGTTTTCCCCCTCCATCCTCAGGTAACAGAAAATGAAAAAATAAGTCTTGCAAAGACGATTGGATCTGCTGCATCATGATGATGTTATCAGCTATCCTACCATCCAGAACACGTTTTTTATCTTTATGATAAAACCCACAACACACCAAAGCTCTAGACTGCTTAGATTGTCATGGTAATCGGCATTCTTGCCAAGGCTTCTGTTTCTTCAAGCAGGCTGAGCCAGCAAATTTTACTACAGCCACAAATAACAAGATCTTTCATGCAGCCTCTCTGCAGGAGAAAAAGTGAACTAATTGCAAAAATCGTAAGGAACAAAAAACCCGGATTATTCTGCATTTATTGTCATGTGTAATGACTGAGGCAGCAGGATATTTAATTTCATTTTTATTAATTCCTTTCAAAAATTCTTCTGCATGAAATCAGGCTTCTCATTTTTGCTTTGTCCATTAGCAATTACTTTTTTCCTGAAAGATGCAAGAAATTCTTCAGAGCTCTTCCAAGTGATTAAAGACAAACATGGCATTCTTCCTGATTCACCATCCATCTGACTAAACTGTAACATTTGTTGCTTGACTGTGTAATGGGAAAAAGAAACAAAAGAGAGGAAGATGTCTTTCCAACATGAGTAAAAAAAACCACAAATTGGATGTGCCACCTAATTTTTTTCTGTTATGGCTGTTAACACTGCCCCTCTTCATTCATTTCAAAACATTTACTTTGCATCATAGATAAACAAGTCACAGAACCTGATAAATGGGCACTACAGCCTGGAAAGATCCCATAATCACATCACTGATGGTACAGTGGGTTAAGATTACAAAAAGAGACAAAAAAAGAAAGAATACATTGTCTGTCAGAAAGGGTATATGGGAAACAAACAAATATCCTCAGTTCAGAAAGTTTTAAACTGTATTTCAGCTCTGCATTATTTCTACATTTGCTTAATTCTGCAGGCATAAACTTTAGTCTTTTAAATTTACAGATCTTTTCCATCTCATATTTAATAAAAATATTCTCCTTTAAGCTTTTAATATCAAGGGCATACTATTTCAATTGATGAAAAAAGTATTTTAATAACAAAAATGAAACATAGGGACTTTTTGCTGCAACTTAAGAGCTTGATCAGAAGTGCAACTAAATACAGATTATGTCACACAAAAAAAGACAAATTCCTGTTTTGAAAATACCTATTTTCCACAGCTCTTTCTGTTATGTCACAACAACACACAGACAAAAGCTGTTTTTTAAGTGCTCCAATTGGGAAGACAGACAGCAGTTAGACACAGGCTGAATCTGTCTACTAAATACCACCACAGATCTTGCAAAATTTCATGCTCATGAAGAAAGCCCCAGTTCCTCCTACCCTTTATCTGCAAATCAAAAGGATCAAGCCAAAGAGTGCAAGAGGCAACTGTCTTGCAGAAAAAAAAAAAAAAAAAAAAAAGGAGGGGGGAGAGGGGGAGTCTGGTGGGTGGGTGTGTGAGAGGGGGTATTTTCAAAGGCACACTCCCTTGCAAAAAACACACAGAGGACAGCTTTTTTTTACATAATTTTAAATGGTACTACATTTTTTTTCTGAAGTAATAATCACACAATGCTTAGAATGACAGTCTGTCTGGAATTACTTCAAATAATTAAATTAGTTACTAAAAAATTCAATTTTCCCTTTCATCACTACTCACATCCTTAGCTGTATGTGTGCCAACCAGTGCAATGAGAACACAAAAATTGATTGAACTTGTTCATCTTATGGCTATACCACTCTGAGAGCTCTGTAAATGCTTCAGAGAAATTCTCACATTTCTAAAACTTTCTATTTGGAGTTTTCAAAGCAGAAAAAAAAATCTGATATAATGGAAACATTGTCTTTAAGTTAATTAAGTATGAAAGTGCTAATTTCAAATCAGAAAAGAAATAGATATTATCATAAGTGCACTGCATACAGATTTATGACTTTTTCTGCGCTCTGTTATCCAGTGAAATGACATTTCTTGAGTTTACTTCAGAAATAAGATCATTTAGATTGTGTTTACAGACACCTGCTGGGGCATAAGCAAATTTAAAAAAATGTTTGGTTGGTCGGCCAATTACAAAGCATTCTTGGCACCCCTTGCCTTCCCATCCATTAACTAAGGAGTTAAAGGAATGACATTAATTTTAAAGCTCAGATTAAGTCAGTGAAGCTTCATTAATAGTTTTCTTAAACAGTTTATTTTAGCGACATAGAAGTAAGATAAAATAGTTCTACACTTACTATCAAGTTCTACACTTACTATCAAGTATCAACACACCTGAAATAAATAAAAGCACCCCAAATGTCTGTCCCCCCCTTGCAATCTCAAATCCATGACAACTCAGAAGTTGTCAACTGAAGAAGTCACCTTTCTTCCAAGAAAAATCATGAGAAAGGAAGAGTGAAATAAAATCCCAAGCACAAACAGTTCAGCAGTCTGGGGCATGAGAACAACAAACCTGGAAGCCCTGGACATAAACAGGCATGCTGCCACCAAGAAATATGAATACTTTATATTTTAAGATTTGAAAAATATTTTTAAAAGTGGAAGCCTTCTGTATAGTTAAGAATATCATCTGTGCAATCAGTTGTACTCTTTTTTTTTTTTTAAAGTTCACAGGCTATTATGGAACAAAAAGCAGAAATATATATGTTATATTTAAAGAACTCAATAAATATTTTTAGTCGCTTCTACCATACGACCGATGAATAAAATAAATGTACAGTGCTTTGAATGGCATATATCTAATTATTGTTTAGTGAAAAAATATTAATACAATTGAACCTAAAATGCAGGAGTTGCCTGCTCTTATTTCCAACATGCAGTTTTAAAACATTTATATTTTTAATTCATTATTTTGGATTGCAACAAAACACTTAGGACTGCAAAGACCTACCTTCCTTTCAAATAAATTCCCCAAATGTTTCAACTTTCTACAAATACTTGAGTGTCTTGAAATACACAAAACTTATTAGTAAAAAAAAAAATATTTTAAAATGTTACTATCCCAGAATATTTTGAGGTATTATAAAATATGCTAACTCACACAGGTTATAAGTCAAAACAAACTGCCAGACATAGCAATCTAAATGCTTATTATTTATCCTTGATACATTCCAGACATTTCTCTGATGAGATATCCTTCCCTTTACAGACCTGTATTTCTAGACAATTAAAATCTGCCAAGCTGCTTATGGAAGTGTACAATAGAAATAAGTATTGAAAGCATGCAGATACATGGAAACAACTGAATTTTTTCAGTTACCATTACTTTTGTAAAACTATTTGAGGCCAAACACACCCTGCTGACTGTGCTCCAGGATAAATGGGCTCTCAAGCTGTTCTCTTCTAACTTCAGAAGAGATTTCGTAGCAGAGGTTTGGTGTTTGTCAGGATGGTGAACCTTGTGCTAGGAAACATTCATGCCTGCAGAAGCTTCCAGATTTGGCCAACTTTGTAAAATAACATCTGCCTCATCTTCAGCAAGAACTTGCAGACAGGTTTCAAGAAATTTGGTCACCACTGGACAACATCTTGTTTCTCCCAGCTTGAAAGCACTGCTTATGTTGCATTCCTAATGCTAGAAAGCAACATGGTATTTTCAACTCGCTCATGTCCCACTTGTGAACTCTAATTCTTGAGTTCCAGGAGAGAAAACTGCAGTCAAATATTCTTTCACTCTGGAACTCAGCTGACACATTTCTCTTCTGCCTTTCCTCAAAGGACACCTGCACCAGCACTTGTGCAGGGAGAGCGGCGAGGTGCAGGGCGGGAGGGACCCAGCAGGAGAAAGGCTGACCTGTGCCAGCAAGTGCTTCTGCCACTTCACTGACACTTTCTAGTCACAGGACATCCATCAGCACACCACTGGCATCCATAAATCACCTCCTCACACAGTTACACAGGTGGAAAGTATCTATTTTTCTGGGGAAATATAAGCATCTAGGACAAATATGCATGCAGAAACACGGGAGTGAGCGCTCCTTCCCATGGGAAGTGGGTTGGGGCCAAGGACTTTCCTTAGCACTCATTTACACCCATTCCCCTTGCACTCACAGCTGTGCTAAGCTGGCACTGCAGGGAACCCACGTCCTTGTGGCACAAGCACGCTGCTAATTACACACAGCTCG